AGAAAAAGGGTTAAAAAACGATAACTTTATCTAATACTACAATTTTTGCCTTTATTATTCAATAAAGTAAGCAATAACTAACCTACAAGAAAATCATTTAGCGGGTTTAGATACCGCAAGAAAATTCAAAAGGTTAACCTATTTAGTTCGCATAGCTTTGATTCAAAATTCAAAATGTCTGTAAAACAGCATGCAGAGAGCAATGTATGGCCATGGATGAGTTCTATGTTACAAAATGTTAATCTGAGATGTAAGAGCTTGGTAAACAGAAAGCAACACTAAATCTTAGCAACTTGTAATTTCTAAATTTATGTGCCAGCAGATATATCACGTAATGCAATATCGAAGTTTATACAAAAAAATAATAAATAAAAAATAAATATTCTGTACATTACCTCAGAGCGGTTTGAAACTAGTCTACACGATGGTTTCCATCTGAATCTTCAATAGTCCAGGAGAAAACAAGCACGCCCATCTTGAACACATTTCAAGAAAGAGTTGATAGTGCTACAACTGATCTCTTATGACAATGTGCAACAAGAAAGAGTTGCTTGGCGGAGACTTGAGAGAAAGGCAGTTATAGAAGTGGCTGTGGCTGCATTTTCATAGAAACGAGAGGCAAGTGATGAGGTACAAGTTTAACAAAAGGGTTTGACATGAGTTTGGTGTTTGAATTGACAAAATGGGAGATCCATGAGAATGTTTGAGTGAGAATTGACAAAACGAGAGGGAAGACCGTTAGTTGTTCACTAATTATCATGGTGACTCAACTAACACAGCTGAAAGGTTGGCGGCAATGCTATTTCTTCTTCCTAAGAGACTTTTTTTTTTTTTTTTATCATTTGAATGGTTGGTCTGGGTCATCACCCTTTTTTTTATGAGTTCAAAATCAAGAGCGGACCCCATGCAAATATGAAATCGACGGCTGATTTTGCTACATGAATATGCGTTGTATAATCCTTCGATTGGAAAAGTCACATCTACCCCTATCCCAACAAAAAATCTATATAAATTTAAATGAAAGGATGTTTCAGTCATATAATTGTGTAAAGGATGTTTCAGTCATATAATTGTTACACACCTTGTTCCTTATGCGTTATTAAATAACTATCATATTTAACGATATTTGCAAGGTTGGCCATAGGTCAAATTGGTTGTCAGATTGAGTTGATGCACATAATTTCAAATTAAACAGTGAACTATATACTATTATATTTATAAAAGGGTGAACAAGGTTATCAAATTGAGTATCGTATCGTGTATAAAAAACGTAATTTTTTTAATCGTATATCACGTATCGTATCGTATCGTAGGATACGCCCTTTTCAAAAAAATTAATAAAATAATCAAAATTTTAAAAAAATTAATATTATTCCCAAGATTAATTAAAGAATTTTGTGGTATTATTGGCTTTAAATTATGGTATTACATAATCAAAATTAATCACAAAATTAAGAATTTATATTATTTTCTCTCAACCATTCATATCATTTCCAAGATCAATGTCAATATTTATATCTCCACTTATATTATTATTATCATGTAACATGGGTAACATATATTCGTCTTCACTTTCTATGCAAAATGAGTAAATTTATACAGGTTTTAGTGAATTGGGTTGGGTGACCCGGTTTCGACCCGAAATTTTTTTTGGGCCTTTGGCCCAAATTAATAAAGTCGTATCGATCTATATCGATATTTTTAAGGATACGAACGGATACATATCATATCGTAGGATACATATCAACGTATCGAAAGGTTTATGATACATTCTCTGATACGTATCGTTGGCTACCTGTATCGAATCGTATCGTATGATATGTATCGGGTATCGTAGGATACTAACAACCATGGTGAACAAATGTTCCCACCCAAGGTTTGACAAAACGATACTTTTCCACCTGTCAAGTTTCAAAAGGACACTTCTCCGGTCTCTTTGTTGAAAAAATATCTTCAAAATTTTAAAATTCAATTGGTTGGAAATAATGTTTTGTTGTGGATGTCATCATAGTTATTAGTATCCTGCGATACCCGATACGTATTATACGATACGATTCGATACAGGTCGTTAATGATATGTATCAGAGAGTGTATTTTAAACCTTTAGATACATTGATATGTATCCTATAATACGATATGTATCCGTTCGTATTTTTAAAAATATCGATACGATTTTATTAAATTGGGTCAAAGACCCAAAAAAAATTGGGTCGAAACTGGGTCACCCAACTCAGTTTACTAAAACCTGCTCAAATTTACTCATTTTGCATAGAGAAAGTGAAGAGGAACATATATTGTCTATTTTGCATGATAATAATAATACAAGTAGAGATATAAATATTGGCATTAATCTTGGAAATAATATGAATCGTTAAGAGAAAATAATATATATTCTTAATTTTGTGATTAATTTTGATTATGTAATACCATAATTTAAAGCCAATAATACCACAAAATTCTTTAATTAATTTTTCAAAAATTTTGATTATTTTATTAATTTTTAAAAAAAATGATGTATCCCATAATAAGATATGATATGATAAATAATATACGTTTAAAAAATTAAGTTTGTGATATAAGATACAAATTGCGGTAGATGTNTTTTTCTTGCTTGATGGTTTTTAAATATAAATAAAAGAACAAACCAAATTCCGTTCCTACAATCTTTGTTAATCACCTGCTTCATTGAATAGAACTTGAAGGTCGTCTTTCAAAATTACAGTTTAACTGCAAAAATAGAAATGTTAAAAAAAAAAAAAAAATTATATATACATATATTATCAGCGTCATAAAATCCCAATAATAAGGAGGGTGAGACCTCCAGTGTGAATGGTGGTGGTCCCTTTGAGTCCCCTTGGCATGCAATGTGCCATCGTTTTCTATGGATCTGGTTAGGGGTTTATTTTCACTTTTTAAGAGATTTTTAATTAGATTAGTTTTGAGGTGTTCTAAAATTATTATTTGTCAGATTTTATATACATTGATTTTGACTAACTTAAAAATTCCTTAGAATCAATGTGGTGTATTTTTTAGGGATTTATAAAACACCATAAATTAGGGTGTTTTGGTTTATTTTAAAATTTTATTCCACAAATACCATATCCACTATAAAACTATTCCAATTATATATAAAAAAACTTTTTTACCATATTATGTGCATCTCCAAACATATTAAATATAAAATAATTTTAAGCAATCATAAAAAAAAAATTATTAAAATCTTATTTCTGGATGCTTTTTTTGAGAAGTGGAGCTATAATTTTTCAATCATTCCAGATACTGTAAAGAATGGGGAATAAGGATAATGAGACTTTATCACATTTAAAGTTATAAAATAGTAATAAGTAGAAAACAAATAAAGAACTATTACCTTATAATTGAATAAACAAAACTCCAAAGAATTGATTGAAGTTGGGTATTTTTATGGACATATATATAAATTTAATATTTTAAAAAATTATCAAAACCATTGGAAAATAAACTCTTGATCATAAGTTGGGTGTTTTAAAAACCGCTACTAAAAATCTTTCAAAACCATTAAAGTAGTTTACTTTCAAAACTATTACGATGATTTACTTTCATAACTGCTACCATGAAACTCTCAAGCAGATTCCGAGTAATTTAACAGCTAAAATCGGTGCAAATATGAGTGACGGTTTGCAAGAATAGTCATCACTCATTACAAGGAGGAGGCGTGGAGAAACCGAACTTTGAAATGTATTGGCATATTGGCCACATCACATGTAGCTGCTCCATCAACAAAAATTGATGTCCATTACGAGAAAACGACCTGGCACTTTGTTTACTTGAAGGCGCTGCAGATATGATTTACCTAATTTTTGTTTTCTCTTCAATTCTAAATTAATTAGAAGGTGAAGGTGGGTGTGCCATCAATCAGATTTTATAAGGTTTGACGCCGATGCCACATTTTATATTTAATTTACTTATTCATCTCATCATTGCAAGCATAAATTGTGTCTAAATAATTTTTAAGAAGGTTGGAAAAATTCTTTTAAGTATCCATAAAAAAAAATAAGGTCAAGAGTTAAATAGTGTGTTATTACCTACGGCTCCAAATTGAATCTTATCTGTGTTATCTAATCACAGTCATTGTTGTTTATGTCAATATTGCGGTTGAGCTTTGACATTTATCATCGCTCTTATTTGACTATAACTACGCCAAATTGGGTTGAGTTCGGACGATAGAGACCATTCACTTTTACTTTTATTTCAAGTGTACCATTACAAATTTTAAGGTTTATTATTAATAAATTAATTTCTAATTTGTTTTCTATCAATTATGAAACAAATTGTGATTTCACATCTGAAGGCGTAGCCCGAGAAACCGTTCAGGTAACGTGTTGGGCTATGAGAATTCTTGGCCACCTACCTGTAAGTAACAAACTCCAATGTAGGCCCAATATTCGAAAAAGATACAAAACACCAGTGGTAAATAAAAGCCGAACAACCTTTCTCTCCTGGACTCATTTTGGGAAATAATTTTGACTAAGCCGAAGAATCGGCATTTCTTCTGTTGTTCCTTACAAGATTATTTATCTTTCATTATCTGTACAAGGTATGACTATATTTTATGAAGGTATGATAATGTCTCGTGAATGAATGATTGTTTTTTTTTATAAGGGATAATTGTTTCTTAATAAAGAAATGATCGTTCCTTTATTATGAACAATCATTTTTTTTAAATGAACGATCATTCGTGTCTAGTCAAAGTTTAGATGTAGAATCAAAGTTTGGGTGTAGTTAGAGTTGACATGAAAATACCAATTCTATTATCACGTTAGGATTATAAAAGAAATACTCAAGAAATGGAAGAATTAAGGAATTTGCTTAATTCTTTGTGAAGTGAATTTTGATGTTCCCAAAATTGTTCACCAAGCTCAACCAGTATTTTAGTTGGATCGAGACAAAATACGACATATCACATTAATATGACCTATAGAAAGTTTATGTTGTTTCAATGTGTCAAAAAAGGGTCAATGTATTAAAATTAATATTTATCCAACAGGATTCAGGCAATGAAGTTGGAGGTTGTAAGTTGTAACTTTGTGACTGCAGCCCAAAAAGACTTCAATTTGTTTTTACTTCATGTAATCGGAGGGCTTGAATTTGCCCTTAAAGCAATAATAAAATTACACAAAAGCTCAAGCCGAACAATGACATTCTACTAATCTAATCCTCTCACCAGAAATAAACTTTTGTTCAAGAGATATTCTACGCGGCAAATAGTTTTCTTACTTTGCCAATCAATCTTCGACAAACTGGACATGTCTTACTCTCTCCTTTAAAAATCCTGCACAAACAAACACATAATTTCATAAATTTTCCAAAACTCACCACCATAATATTTCATAACTCTCAATTATACACATAAATACATACCTTTGGGCACAATCATAGCAGGTGGCACAGTGCCCACATGGAACAAAGAAACAATTTCTCTCCTCATCGTAGCAAATCACACATATTTTTCCATCATACAGTTCTTCTGATGAATTACCGCTACTGCTACTGCTACTGCAATTTCCTGACTCTAAATCTCTTTCACATGTTCCATATGTGAATGGAATCGTCTTTGCAGGCCGCAATAATGGGTTAGTTTCATTTGCTATTGCTCCCTCTTCAGTCGTCTCGTTATCAAAGTCCGCAAGGTACTTGAGGATCAGAAATATAATTATTACCAGCAATGCTGCATAATTGAAATGACTCTCTCAGTAATCCAGTTATCAAAATCATTTTCAGATACAAACAGGTCTTGATTCTGGGTTCAAAGTAAACCTACCCAACATTGCAACATATGAAACCAAACGAGCGAAGAAAGAAAGTGCAAGACTCCATTGAACTAGATCATCCTGCAATCATTTTAAATTTATGGATCAATACCAGTGTCATTCCCTAAGTTATAATCATAAAGGAGTACTGGGTTGGTACAACTATAAAGCTTTACCTCATGAGGTGTGGTTAAATTCAAAGGTTGAGATCTATTGAAGTCCAATTTTTGTTGATTCATGCTGCCTAATGTTGAAGACTTCACTCCCCTGACGAGAATTACAATCTGTATCTGGAAGAGAAAGAAGGAATACCATAAAAAGGATGGAAATGAAATCAAAATGCTTAATTAAAATTAACTACAAACAGTCAAACAACCAATACATTTTATGTTAGCAGTTTGATTTTGTTTTTATTACTATGAAAAAGACAATTCAGAACAGAAAAAGGGTTAAAAAACGATAACTTTATCTAATACTACAATTTTTGCCTTTATTATTCAATAAAGTAAGCAATAACTAACCTACAAGAAAATCATTTAGCGGGTTTAGATACCGCAAGAAAATTCAAAAGGTTAACCTATTTAGTTCGCATAGCTTTGATTCAAAATTCAAAATGTCTGTAAAACAGCATGCAGAGAGCAATGTATGGCCATGGATGAGTTCTATGTTACAAAATGTTAATCTGAGATGTAAGAGCTTGGTAAACAGAAAGCAACACTAAATCTTAGCAACTTGTAATTTCTAAATTTATGTGCCAGCAGATATATCACGTAATGCAATATCGAAGTTTATACAAAAAAATAATAAATAAAAAATAAATATTCTGTACATTACCTCAGAGCGGTTTGAAACTAGTCTACACGATGGTTTCCATCTGAATCTTCAATAGTCCAGGAGAAAACAAGCACGCCCATCTTGAACACATTTCAAGAAAGAGTTGATAGTGCTACAACTGATCTCTTATGACAATGTGCAACAAGAAAGAGTTGCTTGGCGGAGACTTGAGAGAAAGGCAGTTATAGAAGTGGCTGTGGCTGCATTTTCATAGAAACGAGAGGCAAGTGATGAGGTACAAGTTTAACAAAAGGGTTTGACATGAGTTTGGTGTTTGAATTGACAAAATGGGAGATCCATGAGAATGTTTGAGTGAGAATTGACAAAACGAGAGGGAAGACCGTTAGTTGTTCACTAATTATCATGGTGACTCAACTAACACAGCTGAAAGGTTGGCGGCAATGCTATTTCTTCTTCCTAAGAGACTTTTTTTTTTTTTTTATCATTTGAATGGTTGGTCTGGGTCATCACCCTTTTTTTTATGAGTTCAAAATCAAGAGCGGACCCCATGCAAATATGAAATAGACGGCTGATTTTGCTACATGGATATGCGTTGTATAATCCTTGGATTGGAAAAGTCACATCTATCCCTATCCCAACCAAAAATCTATATAAATTTAAATGAAAGGATGTTTCAGTCATATAATTGTTACACACCTTGTTCCTTATGCGTTATTAAATAACTATCATATTTAACGATATTTGCAAGGTTGGCCATAGGTCAAATTGGTTGTCAGATTGAGTTGATGCACATAATTTTAAATTAAATAGTGAACAAATTAAATAGTGAACTATGTACTATTATATTTATAAAAGAGTGAACAAATTTTCTCACCCAAGGTTTGGCGAAACAACACCTTTCCACCCATCAAGTTTCAAAAGGACACTTTTTCACCCATTATCCGTTAACTTAAACTGAAAAGGGATAGACTGGTAAATTCAAAAAACAACTAAAAGGTAATTATGTTATTTTATCCCATGTATATAAATTTTGAAAGAAACCATAAACCCTTAATTCAAACCCCCACCACCCTAAAATCCTCCACGCCATTAATTGGCCGGAATGGCACTCGACATCCAATCTTCACCATGGCTTTGCTTGTTGAGAAAACCACCTTCGATCGTGAGTACAAGGTCAATGACATGTCTCAGGCCGACTTAGACCGTCTAGAGATCGAGTTGGCTGAACTCGAAATGCCTGGTCTCATGGCTTGTCGTACAGAGTTCGGTTCTTCTCAACCCTTCAATGGCACCAAAATCACCAGCTCCCTCCACATGTCCATTCAAACCTAGATTGAAGAGTAGAGCCCGAGGTTTGTATTATAAAGGTAAGTTGTGAGTTTTAACTTACTGAAGATTGGTGTGGTGGTGGCTGCCGAGAGAGTTTGTAGAGGCCAACTGTAACAACTACTGTAAACTAGTAAAATGCTTGTATAACAATATAGAAAATGGGCCCAAAACTTTTCTTTTTATTATATGTACTAAGTCTTTTATATACAAAGAGCATGATTTACAAAATGCCATTTAAAAAGACAAAAACAAGGGAAACAGTGAACTATTGCTCCTCGCTTGCCGACGCCCCTCCGACTGCAACATCACATAGATCCTGCATCCACAAAGAAAAATGATGGGGTGAGCACAAAATAATGCTCAGTAAGTAAACCCTCTATTTGTCTAACCCCGTAACTATTTTTCTTAATTCTTTCCTCACACTTTCTTTCCATTATTTCCTACTAATGTCATGGCCTCATCTTACCGGAGGTACGGCTGGATGGCGTTCACACAGCGCCATCTCACTCTTCATGACTGTCAGGTGGAGTTCACACAGCACCAACCCGCTCTTAATGACTACCGAGTGGGGATCACAAAGCACCTATCCGGTTTCCATAACTATCGGATGGAGATCACAAAACACCTACCCGTTTCTCATGACTTTCGGGTGACGATCACAAAGCATCAACCCGTTTCTAATAACTATCGGGTGACGATCACAAAGCATCAACCCTTTCTAATAACTATCGGGTGACGATCATAAAGCATCAACCCTTTCTAATAACTATCGGGTGACGATCACAAAGCATCCACCCGTTTCTAATAACCTTCTCATTCACGCTACTTTAGCACTTCTCATTCTCTCTACCCTTAGAGTAGTTGCATTTACAAAGTTCTCTACTTATAGAGCAAGTGCATACACAAAGTTTTCTACACTTTCCTAAGTCACTTCTCAATACACAATTAATGCATATGGATGGTTCATCTCCACTAATGCACTTATGAAATGCCAATATGCAATGTTGCAAGAATCAAGGTTCACTACTCATACTCAAACCTCTATTAGACATTTCATCAAATAACTCAAATGCATAACAAGACTCTACTATAACAATAATTCTATGTCTTTCTCTAACCATCCAAAATGGGAGAGAACTCCCTCACATAGCCATAATTCCTGCCATAGAATAACACTTTCAAAAAGGATCTCTCAATATCCTTCAATTACATCTCTAACTACATTTCCAACCCACGTCTCACTTCTCATAATTGAAGTGTATGAACAACCACAAAGCAATAATAATCTCCATTTAAAACTCAATAACATAGCATATAACATGTATATAACATACATACATAATTGCTATTAAAATCTCTAATCAAGAAAATTCTCAAATCTCAACTTGGGTTGGGATTTACTTACCTTGTGATTGAGAGATCTCACTAGCACTTCCTTTCTCTTGGTTTGCTTGATTTTTCTCTACCCTTAAACAATTCAACAATTAAACCAAAAGACCTCAATAATCAAATATACACAAAATCTCACAAAACTTCACATCCAAAGCAAGAATCTTTACCTTAGGATGCCTTAGGTTGATTTTCTAGCCCAAATCACTCCAAAAGCCCTCTAAAAATCCTTTAACGAATGAAAGAGAAATTGAGAGGAAGTGAGAAAAGGAGAGTGGCGGTGGAGAAGAAGAATGAAGGGTTTGTAATGACTTAATTCCTTTTAATACAATTTATACACAAGCATTCCCATTTTGCCCTTACTCTTCCTTAGAAATTCCATCTATGTTCTTTGATTCATTACAAACACACCCCTATATTAACATATTCTCCAAGAAAATTTCTTACATTTTACTCCCCACTTTCTCTACTAATTAGGGGTAGAATGGTCAAATTGCCCCTAAGGAAGAAAATATCTAAAACTTAACAAACAATTTGGTCGGAACGTCGCCGCGGCGAAATTGTCCAGCAGCTTTCTTGTGGCTTCAACACCTCTTCGTCGCGGTGAAGATTATTCTTCACCTCGGCGAAGCCTGGACCACAAAACTTCATCTATTTTCAACCAATTCCTAGGCAAATATACAACATACCACTCAATCAAAGGCCAACCAACAATAATACTAATAAATCGACTCAAAAAAGAGCAAAGGAAGAAACATTAGCTACGTATCTCAAGTGGGGCATTACACCAACTAATTTTTTTTTTCAATTTTTTTTATTTTTTTATTTGGATGATGTTGTGTGTTGATTTGAATAAGGGTGGAGATTTTGTGTTGATTTGTGTGAGAAGGCCAGTGCGATTTCGGTGAAGGACATATTTTGGCAATAGAGAAAGAAGAAAAGAGAAGAAGATGAAGAAGAAGAAGAAGAAGAAGAGAGAAGGGTGGTTTCGTCTTTATACTGTTTATACTATGTCAGAGAATGGATTTTTCAAACGGAACATAACAGTGGGTGGGAAAATGTCATTTTGAAACTTGACGGGTGGGAAAGAAATTGGAGAGCTCGTGAAGTCAAAAGGATGTAGATTGAGATGAAGTGAGTGACGAAGGAATGTTTTTGACCACGTGAAGGAGTAGAGCCCAAGGTTTGTATTATAAAGGTAAGTTGTGAGTGTTAATTTACTGGAGATTGGCGGTGGCGGTCGAGAGAGTTTGCGGAGGCCAACTATTTTTTTTTTCAGTTTTTTTTAATTTTTAATTTTTTATTTGGATGGTGTTGTGTGTTGATTTGAATAAGAGTGAGGATTTTGTGTTGATTTGTGTGAGAAGGCCATTGCGATTCTAGTGAAGGAGAGATTTCGGCAAAGTAGAAAGAAGAAAAGAGAAAAAGAAGAAGAAGAGAGAAAGTTTGTATTACAAAGGTAAGTTGTGAGTTTTAACTTACTGGAGATTGGTGGTGGTGACGGCGGTCGACTATTTTGTTTTTAATTTTTTCAGTTTTTTTATTTGAATGATGTTGTGTGTTGATTTGAATAAGGGTAGAGATTTTGTGTGAGAAGGCCAATGCGATTTCGATGAAGGAGAGATTTTGGTAGAGGAGAAAGAATAAAAGAGAAGAAGACAGAATGGTAATTTCGTCTTTATATTGTTTATACTATGTCAAAGAATGAATTTTTCTAATGGAACATAATGGTGGGTGGGAAAGTGTCATTTTGAAACTTGACGGGTGAAAAAGTGTCGTTTTGCCAAACCTTGGGTGGGAACATGTCGTTCTCCCTTTACAAAATAAAGGTTAATATACATTGGATATCTCCGGTTTCTTTGTTGAAAAAATATCTTCAAAATTTTAAAATTCAATTGGTTTGAAATAATGTTTTGTTGTGGAGGTCATCATAGTTATTAGTATCCTACGATACTCGATATATATCATACGATACGATTCGATACAGGTCGCCAACAATACGTATCAAAGAGTATATTATAAATATTTCGATACGTTGATATGTATCCTACGATATAATATATATCCGTTCGTATTCTTAAAAATATCGATACAAATTGATATGATTTTATTAATTTGGGCTAAAGGCCCAAAAAAAATTTGGGTCGGAATTGGGTCACCCTACCCGGTTCACTAAAACCTGCTCAAATTTATTCATTTTGCATGGAGAAAGTGAAGAGGAATATGTGTTACCATTTTGCATGATAATAATAATACAAGTAGAGATATAGATATTGACATTGATCTTGGAAATGATATGAATAGTTGAGAGAAAATAGTATAGATTCTTAATTTTGTGATTAATTTTGATTATGTATTACCATAATTTAAAGTCAATAATACCACAAAATTCTTTAACTAATTTTGGAGATGATATTAATTTTTAGAAAATTTTGATTATTTTATTTATTATTTTATTAATTTTTTTTGAAAAAGACGTATTTTACGATATGATATGATATGTAATATATGATTTAAAAATTAAGTTTTCGATATACGATACGATACGCGATAGATGTCATAAGTTAA